TAGCAATGATACAACACACTGAACAAATATAAATTTGCCAGAATATGGACATAATCATAACCAATTCTATACCCCCATCTCATTATGATAAAGAACATGCTTTTGCAACAGCATTTATATTACATATCAGTGCAATAATGTGAAACTACCACTTTCCCATTCATATATTTGTTCTCTGCCATTTCGACAGCTAAGGAAGTATGCACTACAAAACTTCAAGTTGGGTATACATTTACATAGCAAACATTATATAGTGTGGCTGCTTTCTATTCAAACGCTGTATTTAGTGCTCAGTTGACTTCCTTACTAGCTTTCAAATTGTTACTGTTGTGTTTGGATCATCATTCTGATGTACAACTATCCAAATAGAGATCCCCAAACAATTCTGTCCAAGACAAACAATCCTGTCCAAGACTGAGTATACTACTTCTCCAAAGATGCAAACAGAGCATTACCAACATTGATGAACACATTCTCTATTTTAGCTCTTTAAGTCTAGATATAGAAATTGGTTAAATATTAAATCAAATTTGGTAGTTCAAAGCCAATCCTTTGGAAGGAAATATGAAGTCAGCATCCTTCTGGCCTAATTTTTAAAATAAATGTCTTTGTATACAATAGAACATACACATCATATAGCATATTAGGTAACTTTATCTGATGAATTTTAAATAGATAATATTATAACTGACTATACATGACATATAGTTAATTTCCCAATGTACAGATGTTTAAAATGTGAATATTATTATTGGGAATTGACACACTGCATATTCTTTTGTGGAATATACAAATCTACATTCTGTGAAGTTTGTTGTAATTCTCTTCTAACTATTATTTGCATCTAAGGGGATTTGCCTCTGATTTGATATGCTTGTTTGCACAACAGCTTAAACTATACCAGAATAAAGCAAAGATTATCCAATGTACACGAAGTGGAATTCTACAGCTGATCAGGACCTCCCTATACACACACAGAAATGCATGTAAGATAACAGCAGGTTATAGGTTAATTCCTACAAGAAAGTACTTTTCTGTTTAGACATGAAGAGGGCCTCTCAACTGTATTTTTCCACCAAAGCTCTCTAAACCCACTTCTGACAGGCATACTAACGCTGTAACATCCCTTCCCCTGTGACAAAACAATAATATACTAATACAGTCAGAATACCATAAAGATACAATACAAATTGGCCATAACCACAGAAATCATAATAATCCCATTCATTTGATCAGTTGTTTACTGCAAAGGGAAGAATTTTTTTTGTTACCATCAACAAATCTCTGAGAGCTTAAATACTGGCTTAAATCATATCTCCCAATGTGCATAAATACAACATGCATGTTCCCAAAAATACCACATATGTGACCTTGCAATTTATAATATGGAACACACACTGATCATACTGCAGACGTGCAGTGAAATAGCCCCCATCTCTGGAAATGTCTGCAGTGCTATCACTGAACAGTGTCATAGCTTGGGAACTGTAGTGTGCAACTTTGTTGCAGAGATGGAAAATGTTTACGCCTAACAAATTCAAAAAATATTTATGGCATAGCAACAAGGAGGTGGTGAAATGTCCCATTCTCTCCTTTAAAAGATGTGCAAAGTGCCAAGGGCTGCTTCAGGTCCATGATGCATCTGGATTTTTGTTTGAAGTGGAAGAGCAAAGCATCAGCAAAATTGATTCTAGAACACTGGATGGCGGAGTTACTATATGACCTTTCTTCTCATCCATAGTGTTGTGAGAAAAAGGCTGTTGGATATCCCTAATTTTACAGAAGTATCTCCTACCTCCAGATCATCCCTGTGGCATAGCTGCATCTTGTCATACAGAACTCCCCGGTTCCCTTACAACAGACCCAATTTCCATAGTGCATATCTAATGTCTAAAGTAGGAGACAACCCTGAACATGTTAATATGAAAAAGTGTTTTTAAAAGCTGAGTGTGTGTGTGCTTTTTTTTTAAAAAAAGACACTTCTGACAAATTTAAAGAAACAAAACTTGCAGTTCTCAATGAATATTTGGGATGCACAAACTGTACAACCTCTTACTTAATTACAGAATTATCTATACATGTGGAGTGTCCCTTGTCCAGAATTCTGAAATGCACTCCAATTGCCCACATGGATAGCTGAGATAGTGGCATCTTTGCTTTTTGGTGGTTCCATGTATATAAACTTTAGATGCAAAATGATTAACAAACAGTCTATAAAATTACCTTCAGGCTGTGTGTGGAAGGTGTATATAAAACATAACAGAATGTCAAGTTGAGACTGGGGTCTCATCTTCACGGTGGGAGTACATTATGTATAAGTAAATACAGTAGAATCTCAGTTAGCCAACCCCATGGGGATTGGCAGGTGCTAAATAAATGTAGTTTCTGGTTGCTTGAGAGTTAGTATTAAAAATAGCTCTAACTAATACTATCACTCATATTATAAAATACTTAAATTCTCTATTGACTTCATATTAATATTGAAATACAGTAATTAAAGCACATTTAAAAAAACAAACACAAACTTAATGTAACACAGTTTTACTGCGCTATACATATATTCTAATTTCTATTTAAAGTAAGATTTCTTCCATTTTTTCTGCTAGTTGCTTGAGTTCCAGATAACTGAGGGTGCATGTCTCCTGTTTAATTACAAGGCTATGGAATCTTGGGGGATGAAGTTTCAAAAAGTCTTTAACCTTTTCTGCCAAAGAGTGCTGGTATCTCACCAAATTACTATTACTGTGATTCCATAGAACTGAGCTGTGGCAGTTAAAGAGGTGTCAAACTATATTAATTCTCCAGTGTAGATGTACATTGAGAGTCTACAGCAGGCATTGGCAAACTTTGGCCCGCCAGTTGGTTTGGACTTCAACTTCCACAATGGCTAACAGCCAGTAGGCTGTTAGGAATTGTGGAAGTTGGAGTCCAAAACACCTGGAGGGCCAAAGTTTGCCCATGTCTGGTCTACAATATGCAGCAAACAGCAATGAATGCCTTGCTTAGACTAGTGCCCCATGTCCACAATAGCTCACTATGCATATGCAAGTATTCCAAAATCGGAAATGATCCCAAACAGGGAACAATATTCCCAAGCATTCCAGATAAGAGATGCTCAACCTGTAAGTGGGGTTGAATCTACACTGCCATATACCAGCAGCCCCCAAGTTATGAACAAGATAGGCTCTTTAAGGTTTGTTCTTATGTTGAATTTGTATGTAAATTGGAACACATACATTTTTAAAGTATAACTCTAGCCACACACTATATATCTATATAAATAAAAATGTAATGTTCATTTGTGGGATTAACAGAACTCAAAAACCACTGGACGAATTGACACCAAATTTGGACACAAGACACCTAATAACCCAATGTATGTCCTTCACTCAAAAAAAATTGATTTTGTTATTTGGGAGTTGGAGTTGCTGGGATTTATAGTCCCCCTACAATCAAAGAGCATTCTGAATCCCATTGACAACAGAATTGGACCAAACTTGGCACACAGTTCTCCCATGACCAACAGAAAATACTGGAAGGGTTTGGTGGGCAGTGTCCTTTGGTTTGGAGTTGTAGTTCACCTACATCCAGAGAGCACTGTGGACTCAAACAATGATGGATCTGGACCAAACTTGGCACGGATACTCAATATGACCAAATATGAACACTGGTGGAGTTTGGGGAAAATAGAATCTTGACATTTGGGAGTTGTAGTTGCTGGGATTTGTAGTTCACCTACAATCACAGAGCATTCTGAACCCCACCAATGATAGAATTGGGCCAAACCTCCCACACAGAATCCCCATGACCACCAGAGTGGGCCAGAGCAATGTGTGGCAGGGGATGGCTAGGATACACACACTAAGTCGTCCCCTGCCACGCATTGCTGTGCCCAGTCTGTGTATATGTGTTTTGTGTGTGTATATATGTGTAAATGTGTGTATATATATTTGTGCATATGTCTATGTGTGTTTGCATGTATATATGTGATTTTGCACATGCATTGTAATGTATTTTGTTTTTTGGCTTTTTAAGTCCCTTTCACTGTGTTTTTCAGTGTTTTATGTGTGGTGGTCACTTGTTGGCTTGATAGGTGTATTGTGTCCAAATTTAGTGTCAATTCGTCCAGTGGTTTTTGAGTTACGTTAATCCCACAAGCGAACATTACATTTTTATTTATATCAATGTGTGTATGTGTGTGTGTGCATGCTTTGGATAGCTGAATTTGTATGTAACTCCAGCCAAACATAGATAAATACATATGCTTTGGATAGCATAGGAAAGGGTTAACACCCCTGTGGTATTTGTTTAGCTGCCTGTGCCCCTGATCAGAAAATTTCACCTCACTTTCCCTCCCTGTGAGAATTGGGTTATGAAAAATGTGGCTTGTTGTGGAAGCAAAGACTGGTGAGAAAACTTCATTGGAGACACCCTTCTCCTCTGATTATAACTCTTTTAGGAGTAAATTTCCCCTCTTAAGGGGCGATTTCTCTCAATTCTTGTTGTCTCACCCTGTTCTTAACTATGAGTTAGACGCATGTAATTCGGGGACTGTTTCAAGATACTGATTAATTGCATTTAGATGGATTTTATGGCAGTGTAGACCAGGTATGGGCAAACTTCAGCCCTCCAGGTGTTTTGGACTTCAACTCCCACAATTCCTAACAGCCTACCGGCTGCTAGGAATTGTGGGAGTTGAAGTCCAAAACACCTGGAGGGCCGAAGTTTGCCCATGCCTGGTGTAGACTCATAGAATCCAGCTCAATGCAGTTAATCTGCATTCTGAAACTGCATTATATGGCAGTGTAGATCAAGCATGGGCTTCCCAACTTCCTATCTCCTGCCTAGCTGCAAAAGAAGAGGAGAGAGTACTATGCGCCCCTTTGCAGAAGCACCTCCAACCTCCAGATCCTCCATCCCTGAGCCTTGTCCTATAGAGCTGTCCTGCTCCCTTGTCAACAAACCCCTAATTCCTGAGTATGGCGAGGAGAGGGACTCACAGGTAGGAGGTGAAGAGGCTGAGGTTGGCGGGGACGCCGTCCAGGCCCCGGTCGGCGCAGTCCGCTCTCCAAAGCGTGGCGTCGGCCTCGCAGTGACAGGCGGCCGGGCAGCTCCGGGGCCGCTTCCCCGACCAGCCTCCGCCTCCCGCTGAAGCTGGCGAAGGCAGCCGGCCGGAGCCCAATAAGCCCAGGAGGGCGAGAAGCAGCATGGTGCCCAGCGGGAGGAAGGAAGCTCTCCTAGGAAAGGAGACTGGCATGCCCTTCAGAAACGCAACCAAGGCGGAGAGGCGCGCTCTCTCTCTCAGGAGTCCAAAGAGAGAAGCCCGGGGACTGCTGTTGCCTGTCGTCCTTCTGGTGGCTTCAGGAGACTGAGCTTCCCCTGCCTTTGCTGGCACGCTTCTGCGCCTCTTCTGTGCGCATTTCGCTTCGCGCGCCGTTTTTAAAGAGCCCGAGTCTGAAACGCGTCGTCGTCGCCGCCCCTAAAGGCTCTCTCTCTCTCTCTTTCCTCCCCCTCCCCTCTTATTTCCCCGAGGGTGGGTTGAAAGGGGCGGGGCAAAGCTGCCGAGGGAGGCGGAGCTCTTCCACCCGAAAAAAAGGAGCTTCAAGGCTCCCGTGCCAACAAGGTGGTCATTAGCGGGTCCTTTCGCCTCATACCTCTCTCTCTCTAGGGAGGGGTGTGTGCGCGCGCTCATGCGCATCCCACCTGTCACTTTCCCAGTCATTAGTTAGCAGCTTTATTCTTACTTAGGTGGCACCCCCCTTTTTCCCGCCCTTTTACCTCGGGTAGAGATTTTATTTATTATTTATCCTGTCAGGAGCGAACAGTTGCGTTGCATTTTTTAACAAACAGATAAAATACAAAGTTTGCAAGCTTGGTAGTTGATTAAATGTCCTTTCACCAGTAGCTGGCCACTTGGAATGCCTCTGGTATTGCTGCAAGAAGGTCCTCCATTGTGCATGTGGCAGGGCTCAGGTTGCATTGCAGCAGGTGGTCTGTGGTTTGCTCTTTTCCACACTCGCATGTCGTGGATTCCACTTTGTAGCCCCATTTCTTAAGGTTGACCCTGCATTTCGTGGTGCCAGAGCGCAGTCTGTTCAGCACCTTCCAAGTCACCCAGTTTTCTGTGTGCCCAGGGGAGTCTCTCATTTGGTATCAGCCATTGATTGAGGTTCTGAGTTTGAGCCTGCCACTTTTGAACTCTCGCTTGCTGAGGTGTTCCAGCGAGGCCTGTAGCGGGGGGGAGGTTTTTCAGGTTAAAAAAACCTGGTTTACTCATGAATTTTAACTAGTTAACCAAATCCCCATGCTAAGTCTATGAGACGCAAAAAATTAAGAGTCCCTCCAGAACTGCAAGCACTATCTCAAGCAAATATTGACAATTTATTCACACTGTCATTACTTGCAGCAATAGCCGATGTAGTGAAGCAACCAAGTTGGGGGGGGGGGGGGTTGAATGCTCTCATTAAGGAGGCCAGACTTGGTGGAGGTGGTTGACAGGGGCGGAGCTGCAGGCTATTGAAGGCTGCTCTGCCCCCTGCTGTGCTCTTTGCTTCAGCGTGAGCTAGGAGGCAGGTTTCAACCCCCCCCCCCTGAAATTTTCAACACTCCCTGAATTTTTTTCTGGCTATAGCCCTGCTGAGGTGTTCCAGCGAGTGTCTCTGTAGATCTTGGAAAACTATTTCTTGATTTAAGTCGTTGACGTGCTGGCTGATACCTAAACAGGGGATGAGCTGGAGATGTCACTGCCTTGGTCCTTTCACTATTGGCTGCTACTTCCTGGCGGATGTCAGGTGGTGCAATACCGGCTGAACAGTGTAATTTCTCCAGTGGTGTAGGGCGCAGACACCCTGTGATAATGCGGCATGTCTCATTAAGAGCCACATCCACTGTTTTAGTGTGGTGAGATGTGTTCCACACTGGGCATGCATACTCAGCAGCAGAGTAGCATAGCGCAAGGGCAGATATCTTCACTGTGTCTGGTTGTGATCCCCAGGCTGTACCAGTCAGCTTTCGTATGATATTGTTTCTAGCACCCTCTTTTTGCTTGATATTCAGGCAGTGCTTCTTGTAAGTCAGAGCACGGTCCAGAGTTACTCCCAGGTATTGGGGTGCGCTGCAATGCTCCAGTGGGATTCCTTCCCAGGTAATCCTCAGAGCTCGGGATACTTGTCTGTTCTTAAGGTGAAAAGCACATGTCTGTGTTTTAGATGGATTAGGGATCAGCTGGTTTCCCCTGTAATGGGCAGTAAGAGCACCTAGAGCTTCAGAGAGCTTCTGTTCTACCATATCAAAGATCGGGCAGAGATGCTGCGCTTTAACCAACAGGTGCAGCCTGGGGCCCTTCCACACAGCCATATAACCCATTCATTAAAGATTTCCCTTGACCCACTTCCTGTGGACTTATTTTTTGTCATATCAGGAGCGACTTGAGAAACTGCAAGTCACTTCTGGTGTGAGAGAATTGGCCATCTGCAAGGACGTTGCCCAGGGGACGCCCGGATGTTTTTGATGTTTTACCACCCTTGTGGGAGGCTTCTCTCATGTCCCCACATGAGGACCTGGATCTGCTAGAGGGAGCTCATCCGCTCTCTCCCAGGATTTGAACCTGCAACCTGTCAGTCCTGCTGGCACAGGGGTTTAACCCACTGCACCACCGGGGGCTCCTTCCTGTGGACTGAGAGCAATGAAACTTGGCACAGGTATTAGTCTTTCTCTACATAGGTGCCACCTAGGGACACACAGTTCTAAGGAAGGCTGAGTGAAGGAAGATAGATGCTTTTGAACTGTTGTGCTGGAGGAAAATTCTGAGAGTGCCTTGGACCACAAGAAGATCAAACCAGTACATCCTCCAGGAAATAAAGTCCGACTGCCCACTGGAGGCAAGGATATTTACTAACCACTCTCTTTACAAACCACCGCAGGCATGTTTGGTGGGGACGAGAGACAGGGCTTTCTCAGTAATTGTACCCCCCCCCCCCCGCCCAGGTTATGGAACTCCCTTCCTGGCAATATTAGATCAGCTCCCTCCTTCCTGTCCTTCAGAAGGATGGTGAAGACCTGGCTGTGGGACCAAGCCTTTGGGGCAGTGCAATGAGGCAAAATGGTGTCCTGAGATGGCTTTTAAGCAACTTTTAATGTGGATATAAGTGATTTTAATGTTTGTATATATTTATGGATTTATGTCTCAGCCTTGAATGTTTGCCGGATATATGTTGTCCTCCGGCCTGAGTCCCCTGCGGGGTGAGAAGGGAGAAATATAAATGTTTTAAATAAATAAATAAATATTAGAGGCAACGAAAAAGTACTTTGGTCACATAATGAGAAGACAGGAAAGCTTGGAGAAGACAATAATGCTGGGGAAAATGGAAGGAAAAAGGAAGAGGGGGCAAATAGGACAGGATTGATGGATGTCATCCCTGAAATAATTGGCTTGTCTTTGAAGGACTGGTGGTGGTCATGGGCAACAAGGAGCTCTGGTGTGGGCTGGTTCATGAGGTCACGAAGAGTCAAAAGCAACTGAACGAATAAACAACAACAACAAACACTTCATTTGTCAAAGTCAACAGGTTGCTCCTAAAACCACGTTGTGACTTCGGAAAACAGAGTCTCATCATCTGAAGAATGCTTGCTCTTCAAAAATAACTTTCTTGTTGGAAAGGGGTGGAAGTTCAATAGTGTGAGTTCAAGTTAATAATGGGGAAGCAGTAGAATTTCAAAGCCACAGGAGCATGCTTCCATTTGGGCAACATGTGAGTTGTGAACTGGTGTATAGTCTTGCAGAAGGCGGACAACTTTGGTGAGCATGCCACGTCTCTTGGCTTTGATGATCTCTCACAATTTCCACAGCAATCAAGCATAGTATGCCCCAGTGATCATGGTACCCTTTGCTAGGAAATCTATCAATACTACTCCAGGCTGATCCCAAAATACTGTGAGCATGACCTTGTCTATCGAGTTGTGCACGTGCCTTCTTTTGGAGGTGGTGAGTTTTGATGCTTCCATTGCATCAACTGGACTTTAGTCTCAGGATCAAAGTGATGGACCCAGCTTTCATTGTGTGTGAACAGTTTGTTGAAAAAGTCCTCCTGGTTTCCATGGCACATCATCAATAGAGCCTACGCATTCGACTCCTTCCTGCTTCTTTCTCCGACCCTGGACATTCCACAGATATATAAACTTTACTTGCTTAGTTCCCAAAAGACCCCTCAATCTCTGAGGATGCCTGCCATGAATGTGGGTGAAATGTCAGGAGGGAATGCTTCTGGAACATGGCCATACAGCCCAGAAAACTCACAGCAGCCCTGTGATTCTGACCATGAAAGCCTTCGACAACACACAGTACAGTAACTGCTTTAAGAGAAGGTGGTTGGGCATTTGGACAATGCAGCCAGTCCAGTGGAGTTGATTTTGCATGTGGAATTCCATTTCAGGAATGGAAAACAGAATGTTGGTGGATAGGAAAAGAGATTAAATGATGGCCTTAAAGCTAGCCTTTAAATCTGTGGCATAGATAGTAAACTGAGACATCCTGGTGTTTGAGTGCTCTAACAGGAAGTTAGCTGTGGCCAAGCAGTACTGTGGAATTTGAAGGGGCTTGAATGGAGGATGAAAGGGAGAAATGTGCCAAGAGGACGGTGTGTCAAGCCAACCCTGACCTGGATCACCTTCCACCTGGAAACTGTTTTCCGCACTGTGAAAGAACATGTGGGTCAAGAATAGGGCTCTACAGCCACCTATATATCCACTACCAACACACAACACTTGGAGGGCCATCCTACTCAGACAACAAGGGATTGCTTGTGTAAGTAAGGAAGGGTTTTACGCAGCTGCGTGGAAGGACCCTGAATGGGAAAAAGCCAGTGATACAGAACCTCTCTCATTTTTTTCAAGGAAAAATAATGTAAAATTAATGTAGTTTGGCACCACTTTAACCACCATGGCTCAATGCTGTGGAATCCTTGGAGCTGTAGTTTGTCATGACCTTCAGCCTTCTCTGCCAAAGAGTGTTGGTGCCTCACCAAACTACAGATTCCAGTGGTATCAAACTGCATCCATTCCACAGTGCAGGTGTACCTCTCTCTCAACTATTTCAAAGAATTTCTTCTTCTTCTTCTTCTTCCCCTCCTCCTCCTCCTCCTGTTTATTTGCATCCTGCTTTATCCCGCCATACAGAGATTCAAAACGGCTCACAACTAAAACATTGTAGAACATTACAATCCAATTGCAACAGGAAAGCAGCTAAGCAGGAGAAAGGGGAAGCCAGATGTCATCTCCTAGAGGGGCTGTTTTCAGGAGGGCTGTGAGACTGCTGCCCCACTCACCATCTGTAGTAAATAAACACAGCAGCCATCCTTTGGAAATGACAATATGACACCCCTCTTTGGATGATTATGAGATATTCATCCTGTGTGAAATAACCTTCCAGTAATCATTAGCAATGAAAAGCAGTCCTTTTAATCATGTGTTGCATGTTCAATATGTTCA